CGCGCGCGTGGTACTAGCTTCGCTTACACTTGGCGCGAGACACTACCGTGTCTCGTGATATATATTCATGTTCAGAACACAAAAATACATAGGAATTGAGTGTTGTTATCCCTTATTTCATATGCGTGGGTTTTCCGAAGGTTTACCGACACGATAAACAGGGTATAATTTTTATGTCAAAATAATAAGATTAGGATTAAAAACAATGGGTCAAATGTTAAAATTGTAAAATAAAGTGGTGAAATTGATAATAGTTATTGCTCTTAGTTCCAGAATTAAAATCGAAAAAAGGTAATAAAGCGTATAAGTTAAAATATAGTACAGTTAAGAAAATTAAAAGAGTAAATAAAGAATAAATGAATAAATAAATAAAATAAATAAATAAATAAATAAATAGATAAATTAATTAATTGAGTAATTAAGTGATTAATGATGTGTCATCATAATTAGATTTTCCACCATTGACCTCAAAACATGGTGTTCCTCCGTAATAGGGGGAAAAGGGATCGGGGGGGAGGGCAGGGGAAAGGGAATTTTAAAAAATCGCGTTTCGACAGTTCAGTGTATGGTCGACAACCCGTATCGACGCACTGTTCCGAAAAGTCGAAATAGACGCGTAAACAACATCTTAACTAATATATGTTATTGCGAACAATATCCTACAGCCCCAGTGGTCGAGCTGGTTAAGACGCCCGCACGGATTGAGGGAGGTCCCAGGTTCGAATCCTGGTTGGGGTAATGTTTTTCGCAATAAGAATTTTAATTGCCAGATACGGTCAATAAAAATCATTGATGTTGTTAATTACTGCTGGCGACTTTTAAGAGTATTCTTAATAATTTTTAACTTTTAACTTACTCCAACGACATTTATATATACATAAAACAATTTTTAATTTTTAACGTATTCCAACGATATTTATTAATATTTAAAATGACTAGTCACGTACCTTTAAAATTTAATGTATTACAATTAATGAATCAAGGTGTTGAGAAAGATTAAGTAAAGTTCACCTATGTAAACTATCAAGAATATAATTGATTTTCTAACATCCTTTATATTAGCTCGTTATTTTTGGCCTTTATAATTTGATCATTTGTTTATACAATCAACGAGCGTCCACTTTATATTATTTTAAAATGTTTTCAAACATTGCAGGAATATTTCAAGATATTCTATTCTGAGAAAATGTTCCAAAAACAATTTTGCGATATAATGAAAAATTTTGATATATTAAAAAAATGTTTTAAAATATTTTAAAAATCTTTCAAAACAATATTTTACTGATATCTTTTTCACTAGTTTCATTTGGGCTTTTAGAAATATTTTAAAAATATTTTTCATATAATTTTAGAAATATGTTATCTTTTAAAAAATTTTTGCAACATTTCAAAAATGTTTGAGTGCTATTAGGAGTGTGTCTGGGAACTAGAAAAACTGGGACATAAATGTGATAGTTTACGATTCAACACATTTTTGGAAATAAACTTTCGAAGATTCTCTCGAAGTCTCGAAGCTTCGAAGCTTTGTTCCTTCGAAACTTCATTCCTTCGAAGCTTCGATTCTTTGAAACTTCGTACCTTTGAAAGTTTCTTTGTTACTGAAGTCTTTTGAAGCTTCGAAGCTCCGAAAGAGTAACAGTCCTAATATACATGTGTATAAATATAATTTAGTCTTATTCTGTTCTTAAGCTACTCGTCATTGACCTTGTTGGGTGTAGCGCGAGGAAAATAACAATTCGCGTTGTCTCTTCCCTATGCCAAAGAAAACTCGTTCATTTTACAATGCGTTGAAGCAGCTTCCTGCGTGTTACAAGACAACTACAGAACCACTGAGCTATAAAATATAACGTGCGTCCCAAAATCCCGTTGTCGGCACCCTTTGGCGACTCTTACGGCGATTAGGAACTTCTTACAATTAGTACGCCCGCGCTGGCAATCACAGCGTGGTTTAATCCTCAATAGACCTTGTTATTCGTCTTTTATCATTCGTTTTTTAATCTTACAATTTTTGTCTAAAATATTTTTATCTAACAATAAAGTGCCTTGTTTTCGAGATATTTGACCGTTTCCAGACTTTTGGCAAATCCTACTTACGTTACGGAACACAGCTTAAGATTTTAATAAATCAACCATAATGATCATGTTTACCAGCATGTATGTACATTTACTAGCCTAAAAAATGAGCTCGAGGAATAATTCCTATAAGCCAATTTTAACCTACCAATCCATAATATGAACTACGCGATTCCTACTTTACTCGTACAAAGTAGGTCTTCAGAAATAAGAACAGCAAGTAGCCGTGGACTACTTCTGTTTCTATCATATTAATCGCGAGTGCCTGCTATCCTTTATATTTTTTATTTGTGTTGCACCATTCATATTATATAATAGGTCGATGATTGAGCTAAAGTTTGACATTAATTGTGCGTGAGTTGAGAGGTTGCCTCCCATTGATTGCTTTGATTATCTAGATTGTCTAACACATCAGCAATTCGTATTCTCGCTCTCAATTGTTTATCGTACCTTATGACATCGCTTATGATGTAACATCCTGATTTATTATTTGAATCTTTTTATCATGTAATTGGCTGCGTTCAGCAAGTCTCATCTAGTACCAACACGTTGCAACAACTGTTGAGTGAGCAGTTACAAATTGCTGAACGACTCTACAAATTTTTAAGTCACGTGATTTTAACATCTGTTTACTAAAATGTCTTCTGTACGGCATAGGATCGTATAGGTTAAGTGTCGTACGTGTTGTTTTTCGGCAAAATGGATTTATTAGATTTGGCATTAGTGATTGCTATCGACGATGTGGAAATGGGAAATATAGAAATACGCAGAAATATCTTACATTTTATAGCAGACGAATTAAACGAACCATTGCAGAATGACTTGAGACAAAACGAACGCAGAATACGACCAAAGAATGAAAATTATTATGAAATAATTATACCACGATACACTGATAATTTATTTAAAGAACACTTTAGAATGTCTAAAATGACGTTCGAGGTATTCAAATCAAAATATTAAAATTTTATTTGCATTTATATTTATTTAATAATTTAATAATACCATATCAATTTTCGTTTTGTTCATTTTTTACAGAATTTGGTAAACATAATTGGACATGCAATGCCTTTAAATCATAATAATCCTGTAGATTTAAGGAAAAAGGTAATGTTTACTATATGGATTTTGGCTAAACCAGAAAGTTATCTAGCTGCTGGAGATCGGTTTAATTTGGCAAAAAGTACTGCGCACAGTGTAGTAAAAGAAATTACAAATGTATTGGTTAATATATTACCAAATTATGTAAGATGGCCAGATGCAAGAATGTGCGAGATATCCTCAGCGGCAAGTTGTTTGTAAATTATTGTTATTATTATTATGGTTGGTGTTATTATTTATTATTTAATATTTAATATCACAGGTATTTAAGAGACGTTCTCATGGTATCCCAAATGTAGTAGGCGCTATTGATGGATGCCATATACCATGCAAAGCTCCTATAAACAATGCTAATGATTTCTACAATCGAAAAGGTTTTCATTCTATTGTCCTACAAGGTAATATTTTTATAAATATATTTTTTCATTACAATTTAATTTTTGTATATAATTTTGCTTCCTTTTTAAAACAGGTATCTGCGATCATAAAGCACGCTTTATAGATATATTTGTGGGGTTACCAGGACGCATGCACGATGCACGTGTATTTAGACAGAGTGAAATTTTTCAAAGGTTAACACATCATCACCTATTACCACCTGATTGTCATATAATTGGTGATGCTGCGTATCCATTATTAGTCAATTTATTAACACCTTATCGGGACACAGGCCATCTAAGTAGAGCTCAAATAACATATAATACCAGACTGTCTAGTATAAGATCAATAATAGAACGAGCATTTGGTTTATTAAAATGCAAATTCCGCAGACTACATTATTTAGATATTGCAGATTTTGATTTTGGAAATAAAATGATAGGAGCAGCCTGTGTTCTACATAACTTTTTAATAGAACATAATGAAATTAATTTTGAAATTGATGAAGAGGTGTTAGAGGAAGAGCAGGAAGAGGAAGCAATCGAAAGAGAAGAAGAAATAGTAAATAATGAAGCGGTAGACAAAAGAAATGGAATATCGGAATTATTAATACAAAATAGAAACACTTAACTGTACAAATCATATTAAACTTTTTTATTGTCAAATATATCTTATAATACCCTTATCTCCTCAGATGCTAAATAACTTAGCGGAAAAAATACTTTTGTATCACATATTGCACGCAACAGAAATATTTAAAAAATATTTTTGTGTATAAACAATACACTTTAAATTGCTCTTAAACTAATAGAAACTAAACACCGTTTAATACTGAAAGAATGAAAAGATATCATGTGCAGGTACAAATTAATATTTTTTAATATATGCTAAAGACAACAAAACTAAATAAATTTTTTAATAATATATATGAAAAAAGAATATTTTTAGTACCTAAATCAGTACTCTTTAACATATCCTTAAAACGACAAAACACAAAATTAATATTTCAATAATAAAAGTAAAAAACATCTCAGTAACTATACAAATCAGTATGTTTTGACATACCTAAATCAGTAGTACCAATGAGTCAGTATTATGACATACCAGAGATCAACATACTTTACGTATAAAATAAAATAAAAATCATCTTCACCAAGTACCAATCAATCAGTATGACATCAGTATCAACATATTTCCTTTTTTATATTACTTTTTATGTCTCATTTCCAACAGTATATCTTTTAATAATGCATTTCGTTCTTTAAGTATATTGTTATTTTCTTCTTGTATAGTATTACTATGCATTATTGCATCTTGTAGCTTCTTTATTTCTTGTATTCTATTACTTTCTATGTCCAGTTGTTTTTTTCGTAAAGACGATAACATCTTCATCCTACTTCTTTTATTTTCTTTATCGGAACATGGTGATGATATTGACTCTGACGATGATACTGCAGTGGATATCATTTGATCTTGCATTAGACTCATTGGCTGGAATTTGAAGAAGGTTTCTATTTACTTCATTGCTGATTTCGATAAATAATGAAAATAATAAAGAATTACCTTGTCATTACTTCCAGAAGGCTTGGTTTGTTCACCTTCTACTACGGATGATATTGAACTTTTATTTGTTGATGTCGATGGCATTGAATTTTCATCTATTAATATCGAGGATATTACATTTTTATCTGTTGTTGTGGATGGAATTGGATTAACCATTGAAGATAATGTTGGTCCATGATTAATAGTTGCATCGTTTCTGAATATATCTTCAAAGGTATCAAAATAATCCCAAGTCACGCGACCTCTTCCAGTGCTGCTTTTCTTATTATTATCCTTTATTGTACGATATGTCTTTTTCATGTTACGCATTTTTCTATCTAATATATCTTCGTTCACATTATAACCTTGTTCTAACATTGTATTGCACATTTGGATCCATAAACTTTTCTTCCGTATTTTGGGATCACGAAACTGTTCTTTTTTTTCAAAATATGCTTCCAAGAATAACTTTGTTGCTTGCTTTGTCCATGTAAAGGTTGGAACTAGAAATAAAAGTAAATAAAATATTTTAGAATCATTATAATATTTCATATATATACATATACATACAAGTGTAATATATATATACACACACATGTATATGTGCAATATTTAAAACCTTTTTATAATTAGTTATAAGTACTGTACCTTTTTCTTCTTCTGTAACGCATATTGCTTCTTGCGAGGGCATATTTTCTTTAAAATATGCCGTAAAAAAGTTTGGATCTATAGAAACAATGAAGCATTATACAAAGTATGATTATTTACAAATTATACTTTAGAAACAAAAGATGTAATAATACTATAGTTTTACTTACCATTTTGTAATCTGTAATGCACATCATTTGTAGCCACAACGTTATATGTCACATTGTTAAAATTATAATGTTTTTCAATTTCACTCATTTTTTAAATAGATTTTTTCTTTATATTTTTATTGAGTTTTAGGTTATAAATGTTATATATGTTTTTTATTTTAGGTTAGGACCGTGTTAGGCTGCGTTCCGACATTGACTGCTAAAAATTGATTATGTATAAGGGATAAGTATGCAATGTAAAATATATATTTTCAGTATTGACAGTAAATTATCAAAACATAGCCTTACCAGTTACAACACGTTGAGCTCAGGTAGCGAACTTGAAATATGATGGAAAAAATGGCGTCCGCTCAGTAAACACGTTGTGCACCGGGTATTGATCACAGCGCGTTCAGCAGCTTTTTAGTCAACTGTTGTACAACTGTTGCGCTTGCTGAACGCACCCATTGAGACTGATCGATATTAAGCCTGCTCTTACAAAGAGAGATTACAACAAATTACAGCAAATTACAGCAAATTATAGCAAATTATACTATAGGAACTACACAAAAGTATTAAACGAAATTATAGACTGGAGTATTTTATGCTTATTCGGCTCACTGACCGGATCGATCTTGGGTCCTCCCTTAACTGACCGGATCAATCTTGAGTAATATTGTTTCCTCATAGAGGAAGCTTTGTTTTCGTGAAAAAAATTTGTTTCCAGTTTTTAATGCCATTGTGTTTAGAATGTTCTAAAACGTCGAAAAAACTGGTTTTTAAAATCCGTGTAGATTTTTGTTTTTTTTTTGTACGCGCTCTCACCTCCGCAATTTTTGAGATATCGCCTTCCACTTTGGCATATTAATAGAGTGTTATTAAAACATGACTGGTATTGTATTTGACGATACTCGGTGCAAGGATTCAGTTTATACATATATGTATATGTATATTTAGGTTGAAATTCCTGAATAACTTTTTAAATATCCAAGATAGAAAAAAATGTTAAAGACAAATGTTGTATGGTTTTTAGTGGCGCATTTTAGAGTAATATCGCTATGACCTTGAATAGCTTTATCAAGGTTATCTAAAGATCACCTTGAAATTTTTATATGGAACCCTCCTTTTTCATTGCATATTCTTGTAGCTTATTTCAATAGCTTTGCAACACGCTATAATAAAGTATGTTTTCGTTAAGTACTTTTGGAGTTATGAGGCTTGAAAGTTACGGTAACGCCAGCATTATCCCTGAATAACTTTTAAAATGTCCAAGATAGGATTTGAACACCACCCCTGATGTTCCACTTACAATTCGTTGTGCCCCCCACACACACACACGCACACACACAAACACATACATTCACTTACCTTTTAACAATTTCTAAATATATATTTTAAAATGATTATCTATAATTCCCCAAAAAAGACAGGAACAGAGATATTTATGTGATTTTTATCCTTTTATATGTAACACATATTATATTAGATAATAAGTTGCTAGATTTACAAATTAAATGATAATCAAATGCCAATCTAAAATAAAGGTGTAAATTGGAAATTTGCACATTGCTTCCTCATTATGTGGCCCACTTTTTTTTATTTTTAAGGTGCAAATTGGAAATTTGGCAGTGTCAGCATTGTGGCAAGTTGTCTTTTCAAATTTGGCCTTCTCATAGAGGAAGCTTTGTGAGTTAATGTGCAAATTAAAAATTTGGACATTGCTTATTTTAACTTGTAAAAATGCAAATTGGAAATTTGGACATTACTTCGTCATCATGAGGGCAAGTGATTATTAAAAATTTGGGCAACCTTGTAGAAAAGGCTTTGTGAGTTAAGGTGCATTTTGGAAATTGCTTACCCCAGTATTTTTATTTGCATACAAAGCTTTCTTTATGGGGAAGCCAGAAACACGTACGCGAAGAGGAGGAGAATTAGAAACTTGGATATGGCTTTCTCCTGGAGAAAGCTTTGTATGCAAATAAAAATTCTGGAGTAAGCAATTTCCAAAATGCACCTTAACTCACAAAGCCTCTTCTACGAGGTTGCCTAAATTTTTAATAATCACTTGCCCTCATGATGACGAAGTAATGTCCAAATTTCCAATTTGCATTTTTACAAGTTAGAATAAGCAATGCCCAAATTTTTAATTTGCACCTTAACTCACAAAGCTTCCTCTATGAGAAAGCCAAATTTGAATAGATAACTTGTCACAATGCTGATGCTGCCAAATTTCCAATTTGCACCTTTAAAAAAAAATTGGGCCACATGATGAGGAAGCAATGTGCAAATTTCCAATTTGTTATACTATTGTAATACCGGCGGTACTGTAACTTCTAAGCCTTATAATTAAAAAAATACTGAATAAAAAGCACAATAATAGGTTTCATTTGT